TTCTTATGAGATTGTTAAATTCTGTTTTTGCAACCTATTTTTTGACTGAATTGATCATTTCCCCGTTTGTTGGACTTATTGTTTATTATCCACCTGTGCAAATAAAAAAACAAATACTGCCCATCTCTTGTGTTTGGCTTGGTAGATCTGGGCATGCCATCAACTTCAAAAGTAGATCTTGCTTTAAAAAAGGTTGGGCACCCCTGGCTTAGAAGCTTAGATCGGGGGCTCTTGGGGAAACATCCGGGGCTGAAGCCCAAGTAGCCACCCGCTAGATCCGCCACTGCTGGTATTATTACAACTTTATTTTATTTTACGACTTTATTCTCATAATATAACGACTTTATTCTCGAAAATGAATAAATAAATATATGAATAAATAAATAAATAAAAACGCTGTTTCCTAGTTTAAAACCTTCATCTTCTTTGGTGCTGTTGACTGATACCTGCATCACAGTCAGTTTAACAGCACAAACATCTGCATTGAAAACAGATCATGCAGAACATGATCGGAAACTGAAATAAAAAAAATAAAAACAGTTCGGTGGAGAAGTGGACCTCTAAGAAGATCACAGTTGAGACACTGGAGAACTGAAGCTCAGCTTAAGGAGTTCATCCAATCACGAAGAAAAACGAATTAAATCGCTGAGCGGCTCGAGCTGCCGAGGTTTGCCGACAGGAGCCGGAAACATCCGAAAACGAAAGGTGCCGAAAGGAACCGAGTGGAAAACACCTCCCGGTCGGAGGAGGAGGAGAGTCTGCTGCCGCTGGATGATCCAACAGAACCAACCGGAACCGAGCCGGTCTCAGAGCAAGGTAAGATGGATGTAACCCCTAATTAGCTCAGCTAATGAGCAGAGGTGGATTTTAGGGCCGTGACTCCGTTTGCAGCTTAGAATATAATCAGAACCACGGCAGAACCGCCGGTTTATGGGCCGCAGAACCATCAGCTGAGCGACGATGGCTGATCCTGCGCGTGAGTGAGCGCGAGGGGATTTTTAAAGCATCACCTTTAAAAGCTATGACGTCATTAATATCAGCTTTCTGAATATCATGGGGTGGGGGCAGAACAGGTCACATGTTTTAGGCTGCAGCTGGAGGGGAGCGGGGGTCAGAGCGGTGGAACCCCAAGGACCAGAACCATCTGAAATACATCAGACCAGAACCATCTGAAATACATCAGACCAGAACCATCTGAAATACATCAGACCAGAACCATCTGAAATACATCAGACCAGAAC